TTATCTGTTAGTTTCTATGTTTGCTGTGAGCTGTTGTCCTGTTTGTTGTTTCTGCTCCTCCATGACGTCACAGACTAACAGTGGACAGATGGGTGGGGCTCAGTCTAGTGATCTTATTCAAGTCTGTGCACTCCACTTTCATGTTAAACATCTTGGCTGGCCAAGACTTAAACTACAGATTTTCTGTTTACTAACAGTAAAGATCCTGTCTGTGACACTTGTTTATCATCTTTTAAAATATTTCTAAATAGAGTCGAAACGTTCTGATTGGCTCCTTGCACCAAACATTTACCCAATCATTGTCTCTCATGTGTCACCTGACCCAGAGCGAGACTTCCTGTTTTTAACAGATGCCTTATGGGTAATGGAGTTGATCAGATTCAGCTGCAGAGGACTGAGGACCAACAGGTTTGTAGAAGTGGGGGTTCTGTGTATAGCTGGATACCGGCCCTGGTTCTGTCATTTGTGTTGTTACCGTGATGTTATTCTCCTCCTGAATGCACCCCTTCAGTTTCTCCTGCAGCACCTCCTCCTGGGGCTGAAACTGTCTGAGCAGCAGCATCTCCCTGAAGACGGTGAGCAGGCGGAGGTCCAGCAGTTTCAGCTGCTGGTCCAGATTGAGTTTTTGGTGGCAGAGCTGCAGGAGCTCCGTGTCGAAGTGACGGACTGAGCTCTCCATCTCAAGAGAGAAGATCACAGAAGATGTTTTATTCATCCAACATCAGGTCTTTTTATGTACCTGAAGACAGAGTCTTTCACCTCCTGGAGGAGACAGTTCTGCTCATGCAGCAGTCGGATCTCCTCTTCCCTCTGAAGCTCCTTCTCCAGCTCGCTCAGCTCCTCCTCCTCCTTGTTCTCATTACCATCATCAGATGAAGCAGACAGATGCAGAGTTTCTTCTTTCTGCTGCTCTGCCTTCATTTCTTYCTCCAGCTGCTCCAATAAACTCACAGCTCCCTCCTCCTCTGTGTTTTTTAAACTGTTTTAGAAAAAATATACTTTTAATGAATTCTGTTCATTAAAAAACACGWTCTCTTAATTCTGTTATTTCAGAATGAAAAGTAAAGTAATGTTGACCAGTTTTAACTAGCAGCTCCTTAGTAGCTTTAAAAAAACCTTGAGTCTCAGTTTGACTTTACATGTTGACTTAAGTAAAAATACTGTTAAAAACTTCACCACACAAAACAATGTTTAGTAAAGTAAGTGGTAAAACCCAGCTCCACCCCCGGCCTACATTCAGCTCCACCCCTGACCTACATTTGGCTCCACCCCGGCCTACATTCAGCTCCATCTATGCTCTACCTTTTACTCGACTCCAGGAAGCTTTTTGGCTCCACCTACAGTCTCATTTTGTTCCACCCTCAGCACTATGCTCCTCCCTCTCTYTAACCCTTGGCCCCGCCCCCTGCTCTGTACCTCTGCTGCCTCAGTGTCCAGTWTCGCTGTAACGCTGCTCTGCTGCACTGCAGCTTCCTGTCTGGGGTTTCCTCAGGCAACATGGTGGGCAGGGCGGGCAGAGGGAGGTGGTGACGTTCTGCGAGACGTTGTTGGACCTCCTGCAGCCGCCGGAGCTGAGCCTCCAACCAGGTTATCAGCTGGATCTTAGCGTCCCGCAGCGCTACGATCCGACCGTTCATGTCCGTCTGTTGTTCATAGATCTGATCGGAGAGAAGTTCACAATAAATCAGTTAATCTCACTTCAGAACAAAGAAGGTGTTAAAACTGTCAGGATTATAGAAACTGCTCAGGTGTTTAATAAATCTGATGTTTGTACTTTGAGCTGTAAGGAAATCAGCTCCTCTTTCTTCTTCTCAGCGTTCACCCTCAGCTCCTTCCTCCTGAAGGCSTTTCTCAACGTCTCCTCAGCTTCATGGATGGCCTGGACCAGCTGGGGGTCCACGAAGTCGTCCGGGGGCTTCTCTGCGTATCTGAGACACAAACAGCTGACGCTCCACGGTCCGATCAAAGCTGGTTTTATATTTCACCGGACTTCACTCACATTTGGGACCACTCCCGCCTCCTCGTCTCGATGCGGGCCCGAGCCTGCGCCGCTCTCTCTGCTTCCTTTCGGAGCCTCTCCTCCTGCCGGTCCCCCAGTTTGACCTTGGTCCTGGGGGTCCCGGGTGGGCGGGGCACCAGCTGCTGTGAAGCTGGGAGTCGCAGAGGTCAGACTGGGCTCACGTGACTCTTTGATGGGTGAACTGGTTGCTGGCTCACCTGCTGTCTGGCCTGCATCTTTCACAGGTTCTGTTTTGGACCTCCTGCGGTCCGTTGCTGCATCCCCATCGAGCGGGTCGGGTTCGTTCTGAGTCCTGATCCGGGTCCAGGTCTCAGGGAGCGGCTGCAGACTGTAGGTGGAGACTTGGCGGTCGCTGAGGATGGCGACAACAGTGATGGTTTCRTCTCCCAGAGACTTCTTCAACCTGAAAACAAGATTTATGATCAGAACTGTGCAAAAGTTCTGATCCGGTCCTCAGGTTTTATATTCTCGCTCCGAGCAGTGGAGCCTTTAAAGCGCCTGTGACATCAGATTTTTGTCATAAACATTAATGCATTTTTGGAAAGATAACATTGATGACATGTTGCAAAACAAATTTCACGCTGCTGAGATGAACAGCTGTTGAGATATTTACATGTGAAGAAACAGGAAGTGATGTCATAGGGAATGTCAGCATGTAAACAGCGTTGTTACAACAGACTGTAGAGAAAAATCTGATGATTCTTTAGATTATTTTGAGTCTCTATCAAAGAGAGAGGAAGAAGAGTTAAAGTTTAAATAATTTTGTTTTAATAAACAGAGACCAGCGAGTTTATTTTACTAATGAGTTTCCCTTTGATGTCACTTCCTGTTGTACTTTGGCTGAGACAAGTTCAAAAGAAAATAGGCCAGTTAAGTGACAAAATGGATAAAATCATGTGTATTAGGATGATTTTCTGAAGTATAAAGATGTTTTCTTTGACTTCTTGTATTTGAAGGTAGGTGTGTCACAGCTCTTTAAAGTTGTCCCAATCAACAGTTCTGACTTTCTGAAGGTCTTCTTATTTAACTTTTAACTGATTTTCACTTATTTCTTACAATAAATTCACATTTTACTTTTTATAGAAAACTTCTCAACTCAACCCGACCCGGACCAGACCCAGACCAGACTGGACCGGACCGGACCGGACCAGCACAAAGTGTGTGCTGACGTCTTGAAGCAGCTCCAGCTCAGTGTTTGTGTTATTTGTGTAACTTTTGTACCGCTCCTGCAGTTTTGTCAGTGCGATGCTGCTGCGCTCCTGCTCCCAGGCCAGCTGCTTCCTGACCTCCAGGACCTTCTGGACCTTCAGCTTTTCTGCCAGCTCGTTAAAAACCGGGTCCAGCTGCAGCTCCTGGACACAAACAGCAGTGAGGACCGTCTCTGTTTGTGGTTTTGTAACTCGTTTCCTGGTGGTGAGGTCGAAGCAGAGGCGGCGGTGTTTGTACCTCAGGTGTGAGACGAACGTGCTCCGGCAGGTTCTGGTTGTCCATCAGAACCTGTTGGAACTTCTCCTGGAGCTCGGCGAGACGCCTCTGCTTCCCTGCCACCACCAGCTCAGCCTTCTGACGCAGGATGTCCTCCTCCAGCTTCTGCTTGGCTGTTTTGATGCTGAAGGAGAGGTGAGAATGAAGGACAGGAAGTGACATCATCAAGATGCACTACCATTAGGTGTGCAACCATACATGTACCCGTATCGAACCGTATCAAACAGTGCTTTAGGTTCAATACACACTTGTATGGAACAATTCAGATTTTTAAAATTTATTGATATTGTCGTCGCCTGATTTACCAAAGTTCTGGCTGGAAACAAACAACAGGACAAACCACAACAGCTGACATCTGAAGGACAGCTGGAGAAAACTGAGATATCAGTGGAACACAGCGTGCCAGTTACTGATAAGAAGACTGCTTCAGAATCAGAACCAGAGAGAGAGGAGTTGCTTCAAGCTGCAGAACCAGCATCACAAACGGAGGATCTCTTGGACTCTGAGACCCCAACAGGACAGCAAGTGGAATGTCCCCTCATGGATTTTACTAACAACATGAAAGAACCTGGCGAGATTAAGATCAAACAAACACCATGTCCAAATCCACGTAACCCTCCTCTTCCAGCCCCTCGCACTAAACCAAGATCTACAAAAAGTCACAGATCCCCACCACCACGTCTGACCCTTCGACACATCAAAACAGACGAGCCTGTTTGTGTTCAAGATGATCCAAAGACTTTTGTGTGATAACTATGCTTTGGGTTTAGTAATTAC